GTGTTACTTTCGCAAGGAGAACCTTTTGGAACACGAAGCCCGGAATTGCATGAACCGCTCAGAACAGGTACTTGGGAATTGGTCCAAGTATTTGTGGGCAGCAGCCCGGTGGCCTGTGTCTTCATGCCATCTGGGAAGGACCCCCAGGAAACTCTCCAGGATTATAAAATAAGAGCTGCAGGGGCCTTGGATGTCACCATGTCCACATCATAGTACAAGTGGGGACACTTGTTCAGAGGAATAAGCACTACAGGGATATTTTGGGTTAGCTCCATCCTAGGCTTGGAGCAAGGAAAGTGTTAGTGGGGGATGGCTGCTGGGAAGGGCCACCTTGCCTGTTCTCTTGCCCCAAGTGGGTAGTGTCTGGCTAAACCCCACCTTTCTCTTCCCAGAGACTGGTCATTAGCAGCTGGGCCCATCTCTAGCCTGTCTGGAGCTGAGCAGGGCCTGGCATGTGGTAGTGTGCAGTGCCCTGTGATGTAGGCAGGCAGGTTACATGTTGCCCTCTCCTACCCCAGCATCCCCTGCCCCAGGCAGACACTTCCCAGCAGCGTGTGGAAGCCCCTGCAGAGGCTGCCGTCGCCGGCAGAGGCCCTCCCTGATGCTGGCCCTGCTTGCCCTTCACACTGCCAGGTCTTCACATGCTCCGTGTGCCAGGAGACGTTCCGCCGGAGGATGGAGCTGCGGGTGCACATGGTGTCACACACTGGGGAAATGCCCTACAAGGTAGGCCAGCTGTTCCCCAGGTAACGGGTGGGATAGGGATGTGGACCCTTTTGCCTAGGGTGGTACCTGGCACCTCTCCCTTGAAGCCTGCCTTCCTTGCCCACCCAGTGACACTAGTATAGATAGGGCCACTGTCTCTAGCCCTACTGGCTCAGCATTTCTCTGGGCATGACATGGGTGGCTGAGCATTGCCCTGTCTTGGGAGCCAGCCTTCAGCAGATCTGGGTTAGGCCTCCTTCACCATGGTGCGGCTGTGCTGGTGCTGACTAGGCCTGTGTTTTCAGTGTTCCTCCTGCTCCCAGCAGTTCATGCAGAAGAAGGACTTGCAGAGCCACATGATCAAGCTGCACGGAGCCCCGAAGCCCCACGCAGTAAGTGCCAGGCAGGGCTGGGACACTGTGGCTCCTGGACGGCCCACCCTGTCCTTACCTGGCTCTGCTCCCTCTGCCTATCTCCTGCCTGCAGTGTCCCACTTGTGCCAAGTGCTTCCTGTCTAGGACGGAACTCCAGCTGCACGAGGCTTTTAAGCACCGTGGGGAAAAACTGTTTGTGTGTGAGGAGTGTGGGCACCGGGCCTCAAGCCGCAACGGGCTGCAGATGCACATCAAGGCCAAGCACAGGTGCGAGCCTCCTCCCTCCTCCCCGAGTGCGGCTGAGGCACGGCTGTCCCCTACCGTCCTGACTCCCAGATTCTCCTGTGCTTCTGTCCTCTGCCTGGACCCACCCCAGCCCTACTTGCTTAGCATGTTCCTGCCTAACGGATGGCTGAAAGGGGATGGCTTCCCCAATGATGGCCTCTGCCTTGTGTCCCTGTCCCAACAGGAATGAAAGGCCTTATGTCTGCGAGTTCTGCAGCCACGCATTCACCCAGAAGGCCAATCTCAACATGCACCTCCGCACACACACAGGCGAGAAGCCTTTCCAGTGTCACCTCTGTGGCAAGACCTTCCGTACCCAAGGTGAGGCAGGTCCATCCCCTCCTTCCCCGGGGCTCAAGTCAGCAACTGAGCTCCACCTTGTCCCCCACAGCCAGTCTGGACAAGCACAACCGTACCCACACGGGGGAGAGGCCTTTCAGCTGTGAATTCTGTGAACAGCGCTTCACTGAGAAGGGGCCCCTTCTGAGGCATGTGGCCAGTCGTCACCAGGAGGGCAGGCCACACTTCTGCCAGATCTGTGGCAAGACCTTCAAAGGTAAGTGGGCAAGCTGTGGGAGAGAGGGCCTGGCTTCCATTTCCTGCCTACCTGAGTTGGAGGGTCTACAGAGATCAAGGGAACAGTGGCTTCCCAGTGCTCCTTAGAACCTTCCAGCCAGCAGAGTTCTGTCTTCCATGTGCTAGGAGACATGAGAGTGGACCGGCTGTGACGGCGGAGGTGGGGGCAGGGCGCCCTGGACCTGGGCAATGGTGGCCTCGGTGTGGTGCTGTAGAGCCTGGAGTGGGGGAGACCCTGCCAAGGGCCGCCTCCTGTGCCTTAGGCCTTGGGACGCCTTGTCTCCCATCTCAGTCCTGTCCCTGCCGTGTTCCTTGCTCCTAATGCCGGTGGCCCCCTTCCTCCTGCAGCCGTGGAACAGCTACGAGTGCACGTCAGACGACACAAGGGCGTGAGGAAGTTCGAGTGCACCGAGTGTGGCTACAAGTTCACTCGGCAGGTAGGCCGCGCCCTGGGTCTCCTGCCCCTCCTCCACTCTGTCCCCGGCTCTGAGCGTCCCCTCTCCACAGGCTCACCTGCGGAGGCACATGGAGATCCACGACAGAGTGGAAAACTACAATCCACGGCAGCGCAAGCTCCGCAACCTAGTCATCGAGGACGAGAAGATGGTGGTGGTGGCTCTGCAGCCACCTGCAGACCTGGAGATGGGCTCCGCAGAGGTCATTGTGGAGTCCCTGACCCAGGGTGGCCTTGCCGCCCAGCTCCCCAGCCAGAGACTGTGTGCAGAGGAGAGCTTTGCCAGCCCCGGTGTCCTGGAGCCTTCACTCATCATCACAGCCGCTGTCCCTGAGGGCTGTGACACGTAGACCCTGCCCAGTTAGCCCCATCTGCCAATAAACACATGACTTTGAATTCACTTGTTCAGTGATCTGTTGATTGATCTTCTGCAGCTACGGGCCCAGACCAAACTGAAGGGCTTCCTCCCAGCCATCCCTCATGGTACCCATCCAGTGGGTACCTGGGCTTCCCCAGCTCTGGGAACCTCAGCCAAGCTGAGGAACTTGGCGGGAATGGAGGTGGCATCCACTTGCCATATAGCTCCTGTCCCTCACTGCTGCGGGCCAATGGGTAGAGTCCTGACTTAGCATAATATAAGTGAGGCCAGCCATGGGTTGAACCTCAGAAGTTGGGCACAGTAGTCAGGGCCCATGGTCATGACTTCATTGGCCAGAGTTAAGTCAGTTCAGTGAAGCTGAACATGGCCAGGGACAGCTAAGAAGCTGGTCTTGACTGGCTGTATGCCCAAAGGAACCCACCCCTTGGAAGGGTCCTATTTTGATCCAGACCTTGAATGGGCAGGGTCATAGGTCCCGCCCCTTCTAGAGCATGGTGCTGTGGGTCACGGATGCGGCAGATGCATCTTCAAATTGCTTAACTCGTTTGTCTCCCGGTGAGCCTGGAAGACTTCCTGCTTCATCCGCATGTTCCCACTGGCTGGCGCATTGCTCACGCTTCTCAGACAGGTACTGAGAAAGCTCACTGGGTGGGAAACCTCGGCCGAATTACTGGGGGCTTTCTCATGCCTGCTTGGCCTGTTAGCACACAAGCTCAGGGGCCTGAGTTGCTTCAGGAAGCTGCTGGGGCTTCCTCAGCACGGTAGCCAAGCTCTAGGTCAGAAGTACAAGACTTTTTTATGAGCTAGCTGGGGAAACGGTCTGATGTCATCTTTGCCACACTGTTGATTGAGGCTGTCACCAGTACTTCCTGGTTAGAGGAGGCACAGACCTTGATAGGTGTGTCAAACAAATATGGACACACTGAAACATCCCACCCCATCCAGGGCTGGGCCAGTGGTGGTCATGGCCCCAGAATCTGGAGCTGGGCTTTGCCTAATCCCCTTGCTCCATGAGATGCCATACTCCTCCTGCCCTTACATACACTAATTTCCCTGGTGTTGGGAGGCTAGGAAGATGGGCTTCCCTCAGAACACACCTGACTCCTTTTCGTTCCCTGGCCATTAGCAGCTGAGGGAATCGTGCACCCCAGGTTTGCCAGTATAGGCCATAAACAGCTTGTACTGAAGCTAATAAAGGTCACAGTTGGGGTGTGGCTTAGTGGTAAAACACTCAGCATGGGTGAAGTCCTCAATCTGTCCTCAGGGATCCTAGCCTGTTTCTTTTCCAGCCAGGCATTGGGCTCCCCTGGATTTGGATAGGCTCTGGGGGAGGAGATTGAAGGCTGGTGTGTGTGTGTGTGTGTGTGTGTGTGTGTCTCACAGCCTGTTTGGAAACCCTCCAGAGTTGTGATTCTCAATCTTCCTAATGCTGCCACCTTTCAATATAGTTACTCATGTTGTGGTGACCCCTACCATAAAATAAACTTCACTAGCAGGGCGGTAGTGGTGACCGCCTTTACTCCCAGCACTCGGGAGGCAGAGGTAGGTGTGTCTCTGTGAGTTGGAGGCCAAGTCTGGTCTACAGAGTGAGTTCCAGGACAGGCTTCAAAGCTACAGAGAAACCCTGTTTTGGAAAAAGAAATAAAACAACAACAAAATTACTTTTGTTTCTACTTTGTAATTGTAATTTTACCGTTATGGATTGTAATGCAAATACCAGGTTTCTGATGGCTTTGGGGGTTGTGACCCTCAGGTTGAGAAGCACTGTTCTAAAGGTACCCTCCTAGGTTCAAAGTCTATCTCACTGTGGGTAGGAACCTACCTTTGCAGTACAGTACATCATGTGTGTATTTCACCTTGAGGAGAGAAAGGACCTGAGAGGCTCTGTGATGCTGGACTCCCAATCCTACCTCCTATGTCTGCATTTGCTCTGCTCTATGATGCTGGACTCCCCAAACCTACCTCCTGTATCTGCATTCACTATTTAGATCTACCTCCCACCACCAGTGTTGGCCTCTGCATACAAGGATTCCCAGAAGACAAAGCAGCAAGAAGATGAAGGCCAGCTGGAGGTGGTGGCGCACACCTTTGGCCCCAGCATTTTGGGAGCAGGCGATCTCGGAGTTTGAGACCATCCTAGTTTACAGCGTGAGCTCCAGAACAGTCAGGGCCGCATGGTGCAACCATGTCTTGAAAAACAAAGAGATGAAAGCCATGACACCCAGCATGTAGGAAACATTTTATTTCAAAAAATAGGGGAGCATCCGAAAACCTTAGAATGATGGACACAGAAGTCTAGAGAGTAGACAGAAATAAATACACAAATCTGCCCCAGCCACTGGTGTGACTGAATGCTGGTCACCTAAGGAAGGTGACCTCATTACACAAGTCTCTGAAGTCATAAATATAAGAAATACCTTATAGATCAGCAAATACCAGGCACAGAACTTTTCATAACTTAATTTTATCCTGACATATAAAAGCTTTATACATGTGACAGGGACAATCAATCCCATACCCAGGTATCCCAGCTTTCATCCCTGTTAGTGTAGCCATTGTGTCAAGTGATGGGTTACAGCCCAGAGCCCGTGGCAAAGGTGAAGCTGAGGGAGGGACTGTTCTGGACTCCTAGTGGGAGGACCACAGTGAGTGCCTACCCAGACGTGGGTCGTGATGTGCAAACCTGAGTATCTCTGGGAGTGGGCAGAGGGGCCCTGCGCAAGGGTGCACGATAAGGCAGGAGTCACTGCAGTCACAGGAGTGCGGCAGTGCAGCTCTTCCCCCGGGAAGCCCCTAGCCTGTCCCCAAAGGACCTGACAGTGGTGGCACACTTTCCCCAGCACTGAGCTTAGTTCCCAATACACAGGATTTCACCCTGACATGCCAAGGCACCCCATGGAGCATCAACACCTCTGGGTGGCAGCTTTTAAGGCTCACGGAAAGAGTTTACTAGGCCAAGAGGGAAGAGAGGCACTAGAGGGCTCGGCTGACAGCACCAGGGGACAGAAAGCACAGTTGCACACCCTACAGGAGCCCTAGGGCATCAGTGGGCCTGGGCTGGGACAGCACTGCCCCATACTCAGTCTTCCCCAGGGTCAGGCGCCAGGCAGAACATTTTAGAAACATGGATTTCAAACCAAACAGGATGACCTCTGCAGTGCATGGCACCAAACAGGAAGAAGGTAGGTGCCAGGGAAATTAAGGCAGCCTCCTCGGCCACTTGGCCAAGAAGACGACTGTGGTGTGTGATGGGGGCACTCCGTTCCTGGAGCCTCATCCGCCAGCCAAGTTCACCAGCGCACCCTGAACCTCGGCTTTGTCTCTAACGTGACAGTCCTAATGTCCTCTTCCCCACAAAGAGACATGACGACAAACTCCAGCAGAGAGACCTCTGGGTATCTTGAATGGTTTCAGTCCCCAAACCCACAAAACCACTCAAGGTCAGGGGTCCCGCTAGTCACGCACCTGGGCCTGAGCTCTCAGACATCCTATGTTTCCCACACGATGGCAGGAAAAGTCTAACAACGGTGACCTGTACATCTTCAAGTCAGACAGGGCCACTTGTCTCTTCTCCCAATTCCTCTACTTTTCGAGTTCAAACCTCAAGCATTTCAAACCTCGACCCAAGTGCTGGGGCTGCCCCGCTCCGCTTCCTTTAGAAGCAGGAGTCACTCCCAGGCCCAGTATCTGTCCACTCAGCCAAGGACCAGTGAGAGTCTCGAGGAGGCACAGTCTTCTCTAGCCTCACCTCTGCAGGTTTGGGACAGAGCCCCAGGGAGGGCCTCCTGGCCAGGACAGAGCAGGTACTATGTAAACAGACCCCTTCAAGCTCACACTGTGGCTTAATCCCCCAGCTCAGTCAGTCCTCAACTCCTGAAAGCCTACCCTGCAGTCTGGTGAGTCTAAGAGAAGTGCGAAGCTAGGTGAACAGACGGCTCCTTGGACCTGCAGCACTGGCTCTAGATGTGAGTTAAGCTCTCTGTTGTGGCCTTTGTCTTCCTGGGTCTCCAGTGTTCCAGGCCAGGCCACTTTCTGTCATAGGGACCCTGCTTTCTGCTCTGGGATCAAGCAGACCCAGGAAGTGGCAGCAAGGAGAGGCACACGGCACGGTGAGTTGGATACTACAAGCTGGAGGTAACTTCTGGAAGGCAGAGATACATGTTCTTGACCACACACACAGGTCACTATCAGCTTCCCTAGAAGCTGTGACACAGGCTCCGAGTGTATAGGAACCGTCACCCAATGCCTCTAGGGGCTGACTCAGCAGCCAGGAGCCACTGCTCCGGTTCATGTGCAAAAAGGAGAGGCCGCTCCTCTGTAGGTGCCAGGCCCCTTGTACAAAGGCCCTCTCTTGGGCCAGGCCTGGGCTAGTGCAGCTCGTCAGGGTTCTGAGGCAGCCTGTGGCGGCCTGCATCCATGTCACTGCTGCCACTATTCAGCTCAAAGCCACGGCCCCCTGCTGGTGTCTGTGGCATGAACTGGCGGAAGATGCTCACGCTGCCATGCCAGAAGGTGGGCTCCGGAAGCCGCCCCACCACACTCCATGCCCGGGTCTCTGGGTCATACGCCTCCACCACGTCCGAGAGTTCAAAAGTATTGTCATATCCCCCAGAGACATAGAGCTTGCCTCCCAGGACGGCCAGGCTGCCCCCGACATGTACCTGCAGGTCAAGGCAGAGGAGTGAGAAGCAGGCAACTGAGGCAGGGCAGACGTCCCTCCCTGATTGCTCTAGTAACTTCCAGGGAACAGCCAGTACATCATAGCCACAGCACTAAGAACCATCCTCAGCCAGCCTTCCAGGGAGTGTAGACAGCATAAGTCAATGTCTTCCTGTTCTCCAACCAGGAAAATGGGGCTCCCTGTGTGGTCAGTATGGTCTCCAGGTGTGGGCCACACCCAGTGTCCCTGCATCAGCCCGTTAGGGCCGGCTCATCCATTCTATCTTACAGATAGGAGACAGTATGCTGGGACAGCCATCAGTGATAGCTAGGAACAGAACCTGGTCAGATAGGGCAAAGTCTCCCAAGAGCCACCACACCATCGGAGATAGGAGACCCTGACCAGATGAGGTCTGCAGCGGGGGTGCTGAGTTCATGGCACACGCACTGCACGCATTCAATAAATACATTCCCAGGCCAACTCCTTAGGAAGCAGCTGGGGTGGATAGTTCCCGGACCTGTCTGAGCCCATCCCCTCGAGCCACAATGGCTGCTAGCCTTCACACAAACACGCCAGCCCTGGGGCCTCTCTCTGCACTTGCTGCCTGCCTCTCTGTGGAAAACTTCTCGAGATTCCTCACCCTCTTCTGCTCGATGGCTCAGTGACCACTAGCCTGGTCTTGAGATCCTATTTAACAACTGGTACCGGCGAGCGCAATTAGGGTAACACCTGGAGAGAACTCAATACAGGCCCCACCCACCATGACTGTCTCCCAAGCACTCTGTCTTAATGACAGTCCAGTTGCAAAAGCAGGACCAGCCTGCACTTACAAACGCTGGCACGCCTGCACATTTACCTGATTCATAGACGGGATCTTATCCCATTCATTCTTGGAGGGGCTGTATACATCCACCTCGGCAGAGTCGTCCCTGTGGAAGGAAGGGAGGCAAAGACAGTCAGACAAAAGCAGTGGCACCTTGGGTGTGAAGGGCCAGCCAGAGAGTTCTCAAAGCAGCTGACTCCTCTGGGGACTTGTATGTATATTTTTGAGACAAGGTCTTGGTTGGTAGCCTGGACTGGCTTTGAACCCACTGGGCTATCCCTACACTCTGTTTTCTTTCCAGCAGAGACCAAAGAGCCACAGTTGGAAGGGGCTGGGCTGGACGGAGCTCCCTGGCTCCTCTCTCTTCAAGGCTGCTACCTCCCAGGCAGGGTCAACACCTTTGCCTCCCCCACCCCGGAAATCAACAGCAGGAGGCCCAGGACGGCAGTTCCCTTTACTGGTCAGGGATATCCAGGCATTTAGGTGGGGCTGAGGTAGCTTCCTGTGTGGACTGCACACAAGCAAACCGCAGGCTGAGTAAACCCCTCCCACATCCACCTGGAGGGTTAGCAATCAAAACTGACTACTGCCCTCCAGAAGGAGTCAGCAGGTGTCAGGATCCTGCCCTAGGACCTTAGGACAGGGAGGGCTTTCTCAAAGGTACTGGGCCAGCAGCCACTAGAGGGGCTGAAGCAAAGACCTGGCACTCTTCACAGTTGTATTTATAGCCAGCCCCTCCCCCTTCTTGAAGGCACCACAGGAGGTGTGGGGGGGGACTTAGGGAAGGGCCAGGCAGGCAGTGGAAGGTTCCAGGACATTCTCAGACCCAGGCTGAGGAAGGTTCCAGGACATTCTCAGAGCAGACCTTCAGGTCCCAGCATTTAAAGACATCAGGCCCCTCAGCCTCTTAGATGACAATGACACTTGTGTCCCCTTTAGGCTCCTCAGAGCTCACCCTGAAGGGCGGTGGCCTCCTATTTTGGGGGCAGGTCAGGCAAAGGTCACTGCTACTCAGCCAGGGAAAATGCAGGCTCAGGGCACACATACCTTTGGGCTCCCAGATCAAAGTCCAGGACCAATAGGAGACAGAGACTGTCGCAGCCCCACAGCTTCAGGCAGACTCCAGACTGGGGACGGGGAACATTGAATATGCACACACATGTATGTGCACACACACACACTACACACAGGGAATCCAGTTACCCTCCCAAACACTCAATAACCAGTCATTCAAGGCACATTTGACTGTGACCAGACAGATCATCAAAACCAGGGGACCACCAGGTGCTGGTGGCGCACGCCTTTAATGGCAGCACTCAGGAGGCAGAGGTGGGAGGATCTTTGTGAGTTCGAGGCCAGCCTGATCTACAAGAGCTAGTTCAGGACAGGCTCCAAAGCTACAGAGAAACCCTGTCTCGAAAACAAAACAAAAACCAAAAACAACAAAACAAAACAAACCAGGGGACCAGGCTAGGGTACAGCTGAGACATCTATCTCTGTCTCATTCAGAAACATGCATGCTATACATGTCCTGGTGGATGCATGGTAACCCACTAGCTGCTTAGCAAGGCAATGCCAAGACTTTACTACCCTTGAGGCAGCTTGATTAAGAAAACCTAGAAGGCCACAGAAATGGTCTAAGGGGTGGGACAAGCCTCAGCCTCCATCCCAGCTTGGGCCCCCTTTCCTCATCTATGAAATGGGCAGCACGGGTATGCTGAGCCAGAAACAGTATACCCAGGGCTCACCTGACGAAGTACATGAGTCCATTCAGAGTCACAGTCTTGGGTGCAAAGGACCAAGGTGGGAGCTGGCCACAGTCCACCAGTGACCACAGGTCAGTGTCTGGGTCATAGCATTGTATCACCATGGTCTCCTTGCCCGCCAGGGAGCCGATGGCGTATAGCCGGCCTCGGCAGGCGGTGGTGGAGCAGTTGTCCATGGGGTAGGTCATAGGCTGCAGAGCCTCCCAGGAGTCAGTGGTGTGGTCATAGCGCTCCGTGCTGTCGGCTGCCACCACGTACAGTAGCCCGTCCAGTACGGAAGAGCTGTGGTACTCTCGGGCCTTGAGCATGGGTGCCACCTCTGTCCACTCGTTCACACTTGAGTTGTATCGCCACACGCAGTCATAGAGCCGGGAGCCATCAGACCCGCCTGTCGGGGCACACAAAGGGCAGATGCTCAACCCACGTGCAGTGAGTCACCCACCTGTGTCTTCTCAGACTTCCGGGTAGGCCTCTCCCTGCAAAGGAATTAGCCTGATTCCCTTCACCCAAAACACATTTGTCTTCTTCTGGCCTCGCCAAGCGGTCACTGTCACTGAGGCAGGGCACAAGGCCCCTTCATTGCTGTCAAATCAAAGCCAAAAGATGCCGCTTCCAACAGTCCTGGACTGGGGTACAGCTAAGCTGGAGGAATGCTTACCATAGCATGCATGAACCCTGGCTTTGCTCTCCAGAGAGCAACACACCTGTAATCCCAGCACTCGGAAGTTTGAGTTGCTCTGGGCCACATGAGACCCCCATCCCCAGAAACAAAATGAGGCAGAGAACACTGGCTGCTCTTTCAGAGGGCCTGGGTTCCATTCCCAGCATTCATGTGGCAACTCACGACCATCCCTGACTCCAGTTCTAGAGGATCTGATGCTTTCTTCTGGCTTCTGTGGGCACCAGGTAAGAAGATGGTGCAGACTACAAGTCGGCAAAACACTCATACATTAATGGGTAAAATAGAGCTGGGCCATGGTGTGCACCTTTAATCCCAGCACTCAGGAAGGGGGCAGACAGGTCAGTTTCTGAGGTCAAGGCCAGTCTGGTCCAGGACGGCCAGGGATACATAGAGAAACCCTGTCTCAAAAAACCAAAAATAAGAATCAAACAAAACTACCCTCCGCCACACCATCACACGTAACTATCTCCTTCATTCAATCTCGGGGCTGGGCAGTTCTTCTGGAGAGACACTAAATATGGGATTTGGCCACCAAATCCTAGACATCCTGGACACTCTGAAACCAAGACTGTCAGAACATGAGAAGAAACCCACACTGTCACCCAAGAGACCTAACACCACAAACCACACTATCATACACCTCTGGGGTTCTAGTTTTGACTTTAGTGGAGAGTACAGAGACATGTTTCATTCAAACTCTTATCAAGCTACACAGATTTTTTGTGTGTGTCAACAAAAGGCAGTAATAGTGTAAATGAAATCTAAGACAAAACGCTCAGGGTATGAGGAGACTCCAGGAATCCCTGGCTTTCCCGGCTGGTGCCGTGAACAGGGCAGAGACATTCTGTCTCTCAACCCAGAGCTTTTGAGGGGAGTCTGAGGCATGTTATACAAACTGTGGGACTTTCACAGGGACGCTCTGAAGCAGCTGAAGCAGCTTCCTGGCCCCTCAGGAAAATCCCCCACCAGCAGCTGAAGGAAATGGTGGAGCCACCTGCCTCAACCCCATTAGCTGTTCAGCTGTGACACTCATTATCCAAGGGTGAGTCTGGCCAGTTCTCTGCTCAAAATCACCAGCCAGACTTCAGAGATGGGGGCAGGGTGGCAAGGGCGGAGCCCAGCAGAGCAGGGTCAGCCTCAGGTTAAGGAGGGCTGGATTCAGAGACCAGTTAGGAAAGCAGAGGCTGTCCCTGAGACCCACAGGCACACCACTGGAGTGGGCTTTTTGTGGAATGTGGAACACAGACCCTGACAGTCCAGCCTCATGCCTGACAGCCCGATAACGATAAGGGACAGAGGCCCCAGTGGTCTTTCCTTATATAGCAGTTCCAGAGGCCATCCCTGCTGGCCTGGAGAAGGAGGTAGCTAGCCTCCCCTTCAGTTTGATCATCAGGATTCATCCTTGGTAAAAAACGTGGGAGAAGCCCTGCACTGGGGCAGGCTGGGGCCCGCCTACAGTGACTCGGCAGTGTTTTGGGGTTTCAGCCAAGTAACTGGAAGAAAACCGCTCGACATGTGACCATGTTTACAGTCGTAGACTAGTGCAGCCTAAACACCATGTGATCCACAGTGCACCGCCGAGGTGCAGGCTCTAAGAAACCTTGTCACTGGTGACAAAGCTACTGAGTCAGGAGGCCCCTGTGGCTTAGCAGGGAGGGAGAAAAGTCCCAGCTTTGGGGAGGGTGAGATGCCTCACCAGGCGCCAGCCTGCAGCCTGTCCTCGCATTCCTTGGGGATTAAAAGAAAGCAGCCATTGTGCCAGGCCAATGCCCTGTCTCTTCTAACCCAAAAGGGAGAGGCACCTCCGGGGCAAGGAGTTGGCTAAGCAAGGCAGGCTGTACCACGTAGGGCGCAGAGACCTACAAAGCAGTTAAGTTTCTGCTCGCACAGGGGGCTCTTAAAGCTTGAAAGCAAATGGAAAAACTAGCGCAGTTCCTGCCAAGGGCTAAGTCGAGCTCTAGGTATCAGGTCCTCAGTGTCTCACTTGAAAAGCCCCCAGAGCACTCACCCGTCACGTAGATGTCATTGCCCAGCGCCACGATGCTGTAGCCCCCGCCTAAGTGGTCGGGGAACTCGGCCAGGTAGCGCCACTGGCCTGTCTGCGGATTGTAGCAATCGACGGTGACCAACTCGTCGCAGTCCTGGTCGCAACCTCCCACCAGCACCAGGATCTCCGCTAGGCCGGTGGACGGGCGCGGACGCATGCGGGGGCAGGGCCCGCGGTCGTGTCGGTCGTAGCGTGCCGCCTGGAAGTCGCGGGCCTCGCGCAGCAGGCGCAGGCAAGG